TTTTCCTCTGTCTCTTAAAACACAGTAATCGCACTGAGTGTCCCCTTTTTATGTAATTGTGAAAGTTTAAATGAGCTTAAAGAAATAAATATACTAGGGCACTTTAAAGCTATTAAAAAAAAAGTTGTAGGGACAAACTTGCCAGGTACGTTCAACCAACTTGTATTTTGTATGATCCAAGAGATTTTATCTGAATTGAGTAAGATTCTTCAAAGTAGATCTGATTGCAAAAGCTGCCTAAGGGAAGAAGAAACTGTTGGATTATGGAGTGACATGGGAACTTTTGTCAGAATCTCCGTCAAGCTCTTTAACTGAAACCTGCTCAGTACCCATGTAGACAACAGCAACAAAAAATTGCTGCTTTTATGCCCAGTGATGAACTCTTCTGGCGAAAACTGGAAGGGTGTTTGGAAGATGTGCCTGAAATCAGTGTTAAGAAACAACTGGATCATGGTGACTTTTTTTCTTCAGAGAGTACATGTGCATGCATTGAAGGAATATGGGATATATGTAGAGACTACCTTTCTTTTTTATGGATTTATAAAAACAATTAGAATTGTAACCGTGGAGAAATTTTTCCTCTGAAACGTTTTAATATACTTGAAATATTTGACTTGAATTGGAAAAGTAACTTGAACACTTTTCAACTCCTAATTTTATTAAATCTCTTTGAGTGACTTTGATTTTTCTCATGTTATGATATAATGAGGTTTGGCCTTTTTTTTTCTTTCCCTCCTCCACCTTCCCGAGGACTAAGGCTTTCAAAATTAACAGAAAACATACAATTTTGTATTTAAATTTCTCAGCCCATCTGATCATCTCAGAAGTGAAGTATCAGTGTTACAAACTGTCCTTTGGATTGTTTTGGTTTTTCTCCTGTGGTGTTATTCAGAACAAAGCAGTGAAATGTGACCTGTGAATACATGGACTGTAGTCCTGGTTTTCCATCTTACCATAAAAAGAAAAAGAAGCTGATTATGCTGAGGACTGGGTATTGATTTGAAACACAATCAGATATCAGGAAACTGTATTCAGGTACAAACGTCCTTTGGGGTTTGGTTTTTTAATAACTATTTTATTGACGTCTAAGAATTGCTGGCAATTAAGGATAGTACTTATTATGGCTTTCGTTATTGTTGTAACTACAAGCTACCTTAATTTTTCCGACGGTGGTGCCTTACTCTGTTTTTTCTTCTGATGTAGTCTTCCAATCAGTGTATATAACATTGTCTGCCACTTCCCAGCCATGGCAATGGCTGCACCTGATCCAGCATCGTGAGAACTCACAACTGTGTGATCTGGTAAGATGTTTTCCGTGGAGAGCATCCAAGTGTAAGAATGCATCAGAAGGCTTAAATAACCATGTTAACTTTCAACACAAACTGTAAATTTTGCAAAAAAAAAAAGTTGGGTTTATGCACAACTATTTTGATCCTCTTGTACTTTTTTTTTTTGCTGTGAAATGCACTGAGATCTCAATACGAGTCATAGTCCATTTGTGAGAAGTCGGGGTGGGGATAATAAAACTACAAAATGATTCATTTGTTCTGTCTGCTTTCCTAGAGATCAGGTGACCAGGAAGAGTAGGTTGTTGTTATCTTTTATGCTGGAGATCTGTCTGTCTGGGCTTTCCTTGGTGCTAAAAGCGGCATATTTTGGCACTGTGCACTTGAGTAGTAACTATATTCTCCAGCAGAAGACTGTTTTAGGCTCTGCTGTCTTGTTTGTGATATTCTATACAACCACTCTGTCATGTGAGTTTTGGATATCCGTTGGACATTTTCATGTTTAACCAGGAATAAAAGTCAAAATGAAAAGAGTGGGATTAGTTCCTCCTTGTTTCTGGGTCTGCAGCACATTCAGGATGTGCTCCTTGGCTAATTCCAGGATTTGGGGTAGGAATCATCATGGCAACGTGTGAACTTCCATGGTTTGTTGGTACCCGCACCAAGCTGGGGGTGGTAGAGGGACAGAAAATACATTGACAACACGTTTCATAGTTGTTTTATCTGTGTCACATGGCAGATTTACTTTAACCAGGCATCAAGGGCCATGGTGCAAGGACAAGCTTTTAATATTGCAGTGATCAGACCAGAGAACAAACCTGTATCGGCTGAGCATACTCCAGGGATCAAACTTGTGCTTATTAAAATATACACCTATGACTCAGTCACTGAGCTCTGCTTAAAATTTTGAGAATTTGGGAGTTTGTCAAGGTGATAGCTCTAAAACAGACTGAAAAACTGACATGTTGACCATAAACCCATTTGTGTTCCTTATATAATATTATTAGTCAAGTTATTTCTCTTCCACCCTCATCTGGTATGTGTGTGGTTTCGCACTGAGAAAGCTGTTACTAATTTTGTTGTGTAAAAATAGACCCAGTGCTGAAGAAGTAGTCTTTAAAATACATGAAACGATTTCTTTTAACATGGGTGTGCCACTAGAAAAAACAAATGTGAAGTTTTTGCTCAGATGATCGCAAGAACTGGAATGGCTTCATGTTGGGGGCGTAGTTATGATGCAAATATCTAGTTACTTCTAGAAATAAAGGACATAGTTGAAAACAGTTTAAAAGAAATCTAGCCACTGAATACCCAGCTTAAATTGCAAGATATTTATGGGAGTCTTCTGAGAGTTGCAAGCACCTTATGGACTAACATATATATTTTTAACTCTGGCCAGATTTGATTCTCTTGCATAACTGCTGTTGTTTCCATCTTGTGCCTTCTGAAGGGAAGGGCTTGCTGCTGGTTCCTGTGTAGGTATTTGCTAGAACCACGGTGTGTTGAACAGGGAGCATGGTAAAATGTAGAATTTTGGCTTATGTTCCCTTCTGTCTTTTTGACTGGCTTGGGCTCCACTGAAGTTAAGAGCAAAATTCTTATTGATCTCTGGTTTTGGGTTATCCCTGAGTTATAAACAGATCTTGAAGCTTAAATAAGTGGCTCTCTTCAGAGGTGCTGTGTACCCTGCGGCTCATGGAAAACACAAGGACAAGTCACTCCTGTTTAACACGGGCATTCAAGCAGGTAGTCCTGAAAGCTTGATTCTGGAATTGGTTTTCATGAAAAAAGAAAAAAAAAAAAAGCAGTGTGTAAATTGCAGCGTTCAATATTTCAGGCACGAGGAGGGGAATAGGTCGAGAAGTTTTTTGGTGTGTTTACAATATAAACTGTCAAGCCTAGGATTAAGTCTCTGTCTCCCCAGGAGAATTTGTGTTTCAGCCATCAGAATGAGAGATGCAGCCTTCAACATCTAGTTTGCATGGGCTGATCCCTCTCCTGTGCACCTGTGGAAGAACAGGTCAGAGTGTCTTTTGAAAGCCTCTTAAACTGAACTTGGAAGAAAAAAAAAATTATTAATCAGTGTTATATCCAAACAACTTGGTGCAAAACTTGGAAGAGGAAGTTTTGCATGGAGTATTACGGCAAGGAAAGATTGGACAGGTTGGGGGGAGTTCAGTGTGTTCCTGTAGTTTCTTATCTCCATGTCAGAAAAGCTGCCCCATGCTCTCTTTCTCTTGGGCATGTATATAGTAGAGCAGTGGTTAATATATTAAAGAAATGAGACTGAAGTCGGGTGTGTAGAAAAGGGTGTGTTTGTGGTGAACTTGGGAGGATATGCTTCAAGAGAAGGGGGTTAGCTTGAAAAAATCATAAGATGACAGGAGGCAGCAGCCAGTTGGGGAATTGGTGAGAATTGTAGAATCATGGAATCATTTAGATTGGAAAAGACCTTTAAGACTGAGTCCAACTGTAACCCTAACACTGCCAAGTCCACCACTAAACCTTTTTCCTAAAATGAAAGATATGGTCACAGTTGCAGATGGAGACTTATATGTGGTAGCTGAAGTTTTAATTATTTAGATTTGATGTGACTTAATTCATTCCCCTTCCATCCTTCTTTGAAGGTATTGGAGACAATTTTGTTCTAGGCATTTAATTTGGGAGCTGTGGAAATGGTCTGAAGAGGTGGAAATAATAGAGAAGAAAAGCTTTTTTGTATGGACTGGTGCTGTCATAGCTGTGCATTTTGGAAAACCAAAACAGCCCTGCAGATCTGCTTCCCAGCTTCACGTTGGGGAGCCTTGTCTGTAGAAAGCTCATGGCTGTTGGACTGTTTTCTCCGTTTCCCTCTCCTGTAGGGGCTGATCCACACAGCTGCATGCTGGCAAGCAAAGTATTCCTCTCAGATGCTATCCTGAAAGATACACCTCTGTGTAGGTGAGTGTCAGCTATGGGCTTGCAAGGCTTCTTAGTAGCAGCAGCTAAGGCTGTTATTACCTTTTGCTCCCAAGAGTGGCAGAGGGATTAAACTTTCTACTGTGCCAGGGTTCAGAGCGAGGTATGACTTACCTTTCCTTCATCGCCCTTCCACTGCGGAGGCAGCCTGGCTCAGTCTGGGGGTGACAGGAGTAAAGGTCCCGGTTCTGTCTGGTCGTGTTTCTTCAGGTTGAGTTTCTTCAGCAGTGGAGTGTGAAAGAGTTGCAAGAATTAGCCAACACGTCTGTGTTGATGCTATTAATGCGGCACAGATCTGTTGGTTAGAGGTGGCTGAAAACTGGACTGATGTGGGGGAAAAGTTGTCTTGACACCCTGTATGTAGAATTTTTAGAGTGAAAGTGTCTGCACTGGTGACTTTTTTTTCTATTGAACAAACTTCATGCACCCACCTGAACTATCAAGTACACCCAGGAATTCCCCAGCAAATTCAGGCTTTTGTGAACTGGATTATTGTGTATCTTGTCAGTGTATTAAGGACTGTCTGATTGATGAATAATTTTCTTGGGTTCCAGCATGTGTTCCACTGAGGGTGTGTAACAGCTCAAGATTTCTTTTTTTTTTCTGCTGCCACAACAGACTTTTTTGTGTGTATGTGCAGAGGCCATTAAAAAAGGAAAATCAAAAATTGTCTTGATCTCTGCAGAGTAAGCAGTTAGAAGAGAAACTCATGATGGCAGTGTGGAAGGACTTCAAAAGATAGACATGGGATTCAGGTGCTTATTAATAAAAGATTAAACGTTATTATTTTAAAAAATAATAAAAGTAATGCTTTGCATCATTATGCATTTAAAGTAAAGTACAAAATCAGTTCATATATAATGTTGCACTTTAACCAAAGTATTGATTCCACAGTTGACTGTATCTGTGGGAGGAAACAGATCTTATAAATAAGTTATGTACTAGATCTTAGTTCCATTTTTGAAAAATGAAGTGAGGGTGTTTCCTAATGAGCTAAACACTTCTCACATATGTTCTCATTTCCCACGATAAGGCTTTTTGCCGGCTGTGTCACTGCATATTTGTGCTCCCATCACTGTCCTGGTGCTCCCCGCCTGGAGAAGCTGTTTTGCTGCTCTCGTTGTCCGTGTTGTTGTTGAGGATGTCATCGCAATCCATCTGTGCCATCAGGTTGAAGCGCTCGGCCACGCAGTGGGCGGTGAGGCGAGCCTCGGGGTCGTGGTCCCAGCACTCAGTGATGGTGTCACACAGAAAATGCATTCCCTGCAGTCAGAAGGGCTGAAATTAAGATCTGAAGGCAGGAGGAAGAGGAGCTAGAAGCCAATCTAAAGCAATCACCGTTTTACTATAGTTTTGACAGCTTCCCGCAGAAACTTTATTTGGCCAAACTTAAGCATGGGAGGAAGCAGCCTTGCTAGGCTGTGGCAAGTGCCAATGCTTGCATCGCTGCTGGCACTGCTTGTGTTCGAGCAGCAGCCTCAGCTCGCCTGGGATTTGGTCCCATGCATTTTCCATGCTCCCTGGAAATCCTCCCTGGAAAAGTGATTTGTGTTGACTGGGGGACTTAAATAGGGGCTGGAAGGAAACAAGCCCTCCATCGCCTGTCTCAGCCTTGGTTGTTCAAATCAGAGCATCCTAAAATCAGGAGGGACAGGAGAGGTGCAGCTGGTGCTCTGCGGGCTGGCAGCTGAGCCCGGGTCTGTGGGTGTCCAGCCATGCCCGAGCTGTTACACCCTGGATGGAGGGGGGGCGGTGAGGGGGTTCAAAGACAAGTTCGGAATTAAACTTCTTAAATTTGACTTCTTGTTCTGGCAGCTTTCTGAAAGGGTGTGCTGTGACAGATACTCATTTCAGTGTACTGCTGTACTTTGTTTTCTCACCACAAAATAGTGTCTGGGTTTAGGTGGGATTGGGTGCTGCGTCTTGGTGTGCTCCAGAACACATCCAGCTCAGAGCAAGGTGCAGGACAGGTGACACTGCTCGCTGGTAAGGTTTATCATACTGCATCTTCCATAATGGACACAGAGAGAACAGGATTGTGCAGTAAAATGGACAGAGGGTGCATTTCAGAACCTCTTGCGTCACTTGTTTATTAGCTTAGTTGAAAGGATTTGAGGATAATTGATTAACATGCAAAAATGAGCTAGCTTAGCTGAAGCTTTTAAAATAAGCTTTTCTCAAACAGAATATGGCACTGTCATATGGTTTAGTCATTAGATTTTTCTGTGCTTCTGTTGCCCTGAAATAACGACATTTATTTGCAGTTTGCCCTGTAAGTAGCAGTGATGCTCTTTTGAATGGTACAACTGGAACATCTTGTTATGCTCACAAAATGGACTTAGTCTGGGGTTTGTGCTTGATCTCTCAGATTTCCAGAGGATGCTGAGTTTTACAAGTATATTTTTAGTGGCAATATTGACTTTAGCTCCCACTGCTCCTTCCTGTCCTGCACGAGCTCTTTGGTTGTGCCAGTACAACAGCCTGTTCAGCTGCTTCCTGAACCAGATCCAGGAATTTACCTGGTCTAAATAACTACCTTTTTTTTTTTCTTTAAATGTGGTGGGGTGTGAAGTGAGGTATAAGTGTGGGTTTAAGGTATTTGTAATTTATCTGGGAAATTTTGGGGATAAATTTCTTCAATGGGCTTTATTGTGCAGCCTTGCAAATGGTTGCTCTGGAGCTGCTGATGGGCGCAGGCTGGGTGAGTTGGCTCTGTCAGGGAAATTAACGCTTATGTTTGCCGAAAACCATGGCCAACAACGTAGGTCCTCACTTGACTGAGAGTGATCCTGATGGCTGAAATGTGGAAGTAGCATTTGGAGCTCTGTATCAAACCTGTTTTCATTGGTGGGAACATCTATGGGTGCTTCCCGTTCAGGTGAGCGATTTCTCTCCCTTTGGTGCCACCCAACGCTTCCTCCCACAGAAAGCTGTTGTCCCCCAGCGTGGCACAAACCGGTGGCTTTCTGCTGCTTCCCAGCAGATGGTGCTGCCCTGTGCCGTATTCAGAGGAGACCCTTTCCAAAATGGCCAGAAAAATCATGTAAAGCCAGGCTTGATGTTGATCAGATCAGCTAAGATTAGTTGGAGGCAAACTTTCAGGAACACAAGGTGGCTTTTCTATTCCTCTTCCCCAGTGAGTATCAGGTGGTCTAATAAAAGTTTCTGCCTTATAAGCCTTGCTCTGTTTGTGTGCTAGACCAGCCCAACTACAGCAAAGTTATTTCTCAGAGGTGACTGCAGTCAGCCCTTCTTCAGCTCAGCCAGCAGTGCAGCTATGGTCAGGCTCTACCAGGGTGTGATTTTGGACAAGCCAAGCCTCTGTGTATTTTTCAGTGGTTTCAAAGTTTATCAGAGACCCTGAGAGGTGAATGCCTTTGAGTATTCATCTCGGACATCAAATATGTAGCAAGTGCTGATTGAAGTTCCTGTATTTGCCTTCATCAAGGAAAAAGGCTGGGTGCACTTCAGAAATGGACTTGGTGACTGATAAACTCGCTGATGGTCCAGTAGAAACCACAGATTCATTTGATGCTGTTTTCAGCTTTGGTTGGTCAGGTTGGTTGTGAGTCTTTGGACAAAGATGGTTTTGAGAAGAGATATTGTAGGGAACACATGGCCTTCTAAGATCATGAAGTTATATCTTTCCTTTTGAAAAGCCTGGCTTTATGTGCCATCCAGGCAGAGTGGAAGCAGGAGCAGCGTGTTTTTGGGGAATACTGCACAATGATGCACTGAACACTGCAAGGCTCTATGAGCCAGCGGGCTCGATATTTCAGCTTGTTTTTCAGATGAACCGAATTGTTGATCAGCAGATGGTATTTTTCTACAAGATATGTGAAATTTAAGAAGTGCCAAAGTCAGGCAAGACTTGAAAATCTCGATCAGCATGCCTGTTACCCCCTGTGTCCTTGGTGCATGGGAGAAAGCCCTGGACCTGGGTCGGTGCCAGGATGCAGGTGTGTTTCTGGAGCTGGTTGGTCTGGGTGTGCTCGTGGATGGTTTTAACAGGGCACATCTCATCATTGCTCAAGTGCTTCTGCTGTAGGGTGCTGAGCAATGCTTTCTGTGCTGAAATGGTGCTTTCAGACCATCTGAGCCAAAGGCTGGTGAAAGACTTACCCTTGGCAAGACTGGAACCTCGCAGTTTTCCTGTTCTCAGCTTCAAGCATGTTTCCCAGCTGTTTCACTGGAGGGAGATGCTTCCCATTTTGGCTTTCCGTGTTGAAGTGGAAGTCCTTTCTCCCATCTGCCAAGTCCTGACCTTACAGGTTAGAGGTAATTTTGAGCTTGAAACCTCCACAACCAAGCGGGTAGAAGCCTGGATGCACCTTCCTTCCCTCTGTCCCTGCTGTGAGATGGCTGTATTGGAGGGACCGTGTGTTTCCTGAGCTAGAGCTTTGGTTAGGGTGTGGGCTGGACTCAGATGATGTCCTGTTTCATGAGAATAGCCTGTGCTGAAGTGCTCCATTTTCCTGTTATCTGCAAGGTAACTGAATACCACACTTGGCTTTCATAATGCTTCCTGATCATGGCTATTTATTGATAGATTTTGCTGTATCCCTGGCTGGTGGCCTTTAAACACCACAGAATTGGGTTTTGTGGAGCTTATGTGGGCTCAGCCAGCTGAGGAGCTGTAAGGAGGGCCCAGGAGTTGTGCCTGCTTTTGCTCTGATTACAGCTGTAATGAATTTTAGGCTGCATTAGTGAGTTGGGACAATGTGGGTTGTTCTTTTCTGAACCATCTACTCCCAGTTTACCTGATGCACCAGCCAGCTGCTCGGGATCTCGGGGCGTCCTCTGCCGTGCAGCACGATGTCCCGCATGGTGTCCACACAGGGCTGCTCCTGGACTTTCGACCCAAAAGGAAGCTCATAATTCTTTACCTCTGCAAGAAAGCAACAGCAGCATTACAGGATGTTTTTAATGTGTTCACTGCTTTGCTTTGGTATGGTCCACTGGATGAGAATAAATTTGGTTTTATCAGTCTGCAAAAGTAAACAGATCTGGACATAATTTAGAATTTGAACATAGAAATGTAGTGCTGGTTTTTCATGTAGAGGTTATCTTCAGAGGCAGGACTGAAGAACCATCTGACCACCTTCCTGAACCTGAGAGATGCACTTCAAAGGGCTTTGTTATCCTTTGGGTGAAGTGTATTTTCAGCAGGTAGAATGTGTTCTGTAGGTGCAAGATAGGAGACTACTGTACCAGCATCCACGTTCCTGCTGTGGGCAGGGATCGGGTTAGAGGAGAAATGGCCCTTCCAGAAGAGCAACCCCATGTCATGGGAGGCCAAGGAGAAACTCCCTGTTGCGGAGGTGAGAGTTCACCCTGGTTTCTGCCAGCTCCTGCCCAGACATGAATGCAGGTGAAATCCTAGTGGGGATGGATGTCCTGGGACACTGGCTTGGAAGCAAAGGATGCACGGGGCATCTGAGCCAGGCAAGGCTCTCTCACCTCCGAGCATGGGGCAGTGGGGGCAGCTTTCTTGCTTCTTGCAGCTGGAGCTTCTTGCAGCTCCGTGGGCTTGTGTTGCAAGTAGGTGGGATAGGGAAGGAACCAGAAAGCTAAAAAGGGAAGAGAGGGGAGTGGGCAAAAAGGCAGACAGGGGCTAGCAGCGGGGCAGTTAATTAAATGTTTTGCTATATGCAATTTCGGATGCCAGGATGTGGCTCTGGGAAGTGAGGGGGGACGTGGCTCTGCTGGAGGCTGAAGTTTGCAAGTCCCTGTTGCAACATAAACTCTCTGGTGTTGTCTGAAGAAAAAGTGCTTGTGGCTGGGCAGGGGGAGGCAGCTTTGGCTTGTCCTGCTTGGTTTGCTTTGCATCACCACCACTGGCTGGGATTTGACTTGGCGGCTGGCCGGCTTTTAGCAGGGGCTGGTCCAGATGACCCCCTGGGGTCCTGTCCTGCTTTTTGGCCACCGAGCCGGCCCCCTCGAGCTGTGGCACACAGGGCAGGCAGCCATGGGGGAGGATCTACCACCAGCTCTTAGCAGCCCTGCAGAGACCTGAGCGACCCCAAATCAGGTCCCACGCCATCAATGGGGATGTGGGACTGAGCCACGTCATGTCCCTGTATGGGGAGGAAGAAAGGAAAAAGGTGAGTGGCAAACCTGATGCGATGCTCCTACCTCCTACCACTTCACATCTGGAAGCCATTTCCCACAAAACGAGGGCCATGGAGTAAACGTCCATCTGCTTGAAGGACTCCAGGTCTTCCAGGTTCACCCTGGACTCCAGGACCTCTGGGGCCATGTACCTGGCGGTGCCCACCTGCCCGCAGAGAGGAGAAAACCGTTAGCAGGGGTGGGCGAGCACTTGGGCTGCAGGGTGACCAGGGTGGTTTGCAAAGGGTCCCCTCCAGGGAGGGCCGGCGGGTCGTACTTGCCTGCCCGCTGTTGGCGAAGTCGTCCACCGTCAGGGAAGGGTCGAGGCGTATGGCGATGCCGAAGTCGCAGAGCACGCACTCCTGCTCGTTCTTCACCAGCACGTTGGTGCTTTTGATGTCGCGGTGGGCGATGGGGATTTTTGGCCTGCCGCAGGCGGTATAGTCGCTGTGGAGGTGGGCAACCCCGCTCACCAGAGAGCCTGCCATCTTCTGCAGGTCCATCCAGCTCAGGACGTGATGGGAGAGATAGTCCTTGAGGTTTCCCCGGCTGTGGTAGGCGGTGATCAG